GAGATCACGTGCCATTTTTGAAAGAGTATTATCTAAATATTAAGATAAGAAAACTTTAACATCTTCGATATCACAGGCAAAATATTCTAAATTGTTTCTATATTAATTCCCTATTAATTTCCATATTAATATTCTAAAATATTCTAAATTATTCTGAATATTTCTAAAGACGGTGAAATATAATTTCGAATCGCCATCGTAATTCGCGGACCACGGCGTGAATTTCGTACAGAGACAAAAAGTTTCGATTTGGTCTTTGATCGAGAGGTTCAGCAAGAAGCAAGAAGCTGCTGTCGAGCACGAGGAATACGAACGTTGCCCCGTAACACGACTCGAAAATTTGTTACGCGATCGGAATGTCTTAGGACGATGGTACTTGTCAGTGGGTAACGGTACCTTAACCAAGTTACGCCTGGGTAACGCGTGAATTTGTTGTTAAGTCACGATCTGAACGCGGCGCTCAGGCTGAATTTTGTCGCGTTCCACTTTGATTCGATTACATCCTTTTCTTTTCCATCGCGCGGCCCGCTCGCTCACGTGGGAAGAAGACGAAGAAGCCGTCACTGAAGTTGTTTAACACACGGAACTATAACGGCGGTCGAAACGTAAAATTTTCTAAAGAGATCAAAGTAAAAAGAGAAAGAAAAAAAGAAACAGAAAAGTTTACGATACAACATACGTGTACTATGAAACGCGGTACATAAGCTTCTATTTGTTATACGATTTTGCGAAAAGTTGTTTCAATCTTTTTAAGTTAAATTGAACCTTTTTAAAATTAAGTTAAAATTAAACTAAATCTCTGAAGATACACTGTTTCGCGTCCGTAAAATATTCAAAAATTATATATTGGTCATTTTTTGACCATTATAGTTTTAGTGTTATTGCAACACAATCAAACTGATTTATACCAAGCTAAAATTATTTAAATCTCTTCAACTTAAATTGAATCTTTTTAAAATTAAGTTAAAATTAAACTAAATCTCTGAAAATACACTGTTACGCATCCGTAAAATATTCAAAAATTATATATTGGTCATTTTGACGATTTTGGTAGTTCCAGTGTTAATAGCAAGAAAATATTTAGAAATGATGCAAAAAGAACTAGTCGAGTCCAGTCTGAAAACATTCTAAAATGTCTGAAACTTACCAACACGTTTCTATTTTCCACGAAAAACTTAATCTAAGCAATAAATTGTACTTTACTCGCCATTGCACAAAAAGAATTGCAATTTCTTCGACGAGTATACTCGTCGTTCATAGCTAAGTGGTTGAAACCTCTGTTCAGGTAATCGTGATCGAAGTTTATATAGATTTCGTGATAATTGCAGTTGGATCGTTCGAGGCACCGATTTTGTTACTCATTTGAACGCGAAATTATTTCATTCAATCTCGCTCGGCGAACGTTGGCCGAAGTAATTACAGATAATTCGACGATGTAATACGTAAAAATACACGTCGAATCGCGTTCAAAGAATTTCTAACGCGAACCTACTGCCAACCTGTGTGTAAAATGTCAGCAAATAATTAGCATCGGCGAGCACGTATCCCGCTGATATTTCTATGATTAAAATTCATTTGTACACTTTATGCAAACATTGCAACGATTTTAATCTTTAACGAATGCTGTTCACCAAGTTTTGAACGGGATCGACATTCCACCGCGCTGAGAGCAGCAACAGCGATCGAAACTTGTTTAGCTTGAACATATAAATCAGTTCGATTGTGATGCACTAACACTAGAATTACCAAGATGGTCAAAAAATGACCAATATATAATTTTTGAATATTTTACGGAAACAGTATATTTTCAAAGATTCAGTTTACTGTAATTTAAATTTAAAATGACTCAATTTAAGTTGAAGAGATTTAAATAATTTTAGCTTGGTATAAATCAGTTTGATTCTGTTGCAGTAATATTAGAACTACCAAAATGGTCAAAAAATTACCAATATATAATTTTTGAATATTTTACAAATGTAAAACAATGTATTTTCAGAGATTTAGTTTAATTTAACTTAATTTTAAAATGATTCAATTTAACTTGAAGAGATTTAAATAATTTTAGCTTGGTATAAATCAGTTTGATTTTGTTGCAGTAATACTGGAACTACCAAAATGGTCAAAAAATTACCAATATATAATTTTTGAATATTTTACAGATGTAAAACAGTGTATTTTCAGAGATTTAGTTTAATTTAACTTAATTTTAAAACGATTCAATTTAACCTGGAGAGATTTAAATAATTTCAGCTTGGTATAAATCAGTTTGATTGTGTTGCAGTAATACTGGAACTGCCAAAATGGTCAAAAAATTACCAATATATAATTTTTGAATATTTTACAGATGTAAAACAGTGTATTTTCAGAGATTTAGTTTAATTTAACTTAATTTTAAAACGATTCAATTTAACCTGGAGAGATTTAAATAATTTCAGCTTGGTATAAATCAGTTTGATTGTGTTGCAGTAATACTGGAACTGCCAAAATGGTCAAAAAATTACCAATATATAATTTTTGAATATTTTACAAATGTAAAACAGTGTATTTTCAGAGATTTAGTTTAATTTAACTTAATTTTAAAACGATTCAATTCAACTTGAAGAGATTTAAATAATGTCAGCTTGATATAAATTTCAGTTCGATTGTGATGCATTAAAAAAATGGCATCACAGCTAAGAAGTTGAAAGAACGATCGACTCGATCCCTCTTTCGTTTCAATTCAATGCGTTCAAATTATCAATCGATACATTCCACTCTCTCGAATTCTGTTTTTGAACTTTCGTAAAAAAAAGGACGACTTACGAAACGAAATTTCGTTTCGGCGACAGTAACAGTAACAAATAATGGCACAGAGGGTACCCATGACTCTCTTAACCGTCTGCCCACGCGTATCGTCGAGCTCGCCTACCTGGCCTAACCTAAAAGCCGCATAATTGGAACTTTCTTGTTACCGCGTTCGGTATAATGGCCAGTGTTCGTCTGGCCAGCAGAACCAGTCGCTGGAATTCCAAACTAATCTCTATCCCCGTGTTTTCACTCGTCCGCCATTGCCACTCGCGAACACATTGCTCTCCCGTTGAAAATACAAACAAACAAACACGCGGCGTGCATTTGTTTGAAAAGGGAAAAAGACTCTGCGATCAATGGCACTTCAATAGAGAAAGGAAAGTCTCTCGCGAGACAATGCGACTTACGAACGCAGGGGAACGATTTCGTCCGAGCAAGTTTTTCCATTGACTGTAAATTGCAGGTGATTCTCCTAATTTTTTTACCTTTTATTATGGCTGCTAGGCCACGTAGATAAATTCACGCGTGGCCAAGGGAACGTAGAGCCGCCGCGGGGCACGCTCGCGGATTTCGTGGAACGAGCTGCTTTCTCTTCCATCAATTCAGCTGCTCCGCCATTCTCGCCCGGCGACTTCTAGCCCCGGCGCGTGTTCCACGTTCGAAATACCGACGAAAACCGGTATACATACTTTATCTCCTGCCTCGAGCACGAAAAATACTCTTCGCGGGGCGAGAAGAAATCGAAGAATGGCCGTGAAGCTTTTTTTTTCCCCCCCGTTTTAATTGAGAGAAATTCGAGCAGCTGGGAGAGAGATGGGGAAAAATATCGATAGGAACGTTACTCGATTCGATAAGATACTCGAGAGTACGCGGCTGCACGTGAAATTTCACGGTGTGGCGTGATCGTCGGGCGTTGCTATCTCGCGAGAGCAATCGAAAGGCGAGAAGCGAAAAAAAAAAGAAAAAGAGAAAGAAACGTTTCCGCGGTATTCGACGTGCGGGCAATAAACGACAGCTCACCGAGCAAAACGAAAATGCCAAGCGCGTAGATGGATTCTACGTTGGAAAGAAGCGGAAGAGAAGGGAATACATATTGTTTTCAACCTTCGGGTAATATTAGAGGGGGAAAGAGAGGAAGCCACATCGTTCTAAACGATAATCATCGTCACGTGTCTTCTTTGATGCTTCGTTTATTATTAGGCCAGGCAGGTGTTCCGTGCAGTTTATGCAAACGACAGGAAGGAGACCGAGAGAAACTAAAGAAGCAGCTTAATTCTTCAATTTTGAAATGACGCTAACTTGAGGTTAGAAACCATCTTTCTGTTGTGACCTTTCGCGTCGGAGGAATGAAAATTCATCCGCCAAGACGAGCCGAGGCGTATTGCAGCGTGTCGAGCTCTAACTCGCTCGAAACCGTCTCTAATTAGCGTCACTCTGGCTACTTTAGTAACACTGTATACAGAAGAATAATTGCAAGCTGAAGAGCTCTCGAGCAAAGTAGCCAACAACTCTCAGAGATAATAAATCGGAGGGAAATGGCTCGAGGAATGTTTCGTCGTAGCGAGCCTCGAGGCTCGTTTCGAAAAATCATGCAACGTTTAACCACTTGCGCTGGAATGTCGTGAATTTGTCCTTTTTCCAAAATCGCAATATCTTTCCAATAGCATTAAGTATATTTAAGTATATTTAAAACGAAATGGGCAAAGCAAATAATAAATTTGCTAATAAATTAAATTAAATTAAATAATAAGTAATTTATTAAAAATAATAAGTGTAGGCAATTATTAAACAATAATATAGGCAAAGCAAATGATAAATTTGCTAATAAATTAAATTAAATTAAATAACAAGTAATATTATATAAAATAATAAATTGAACTTCTATAATGTTCTGTATTTAAATAATAAATGAAATTTCTTATCCAGCGAGTGTCTATTGCCCACGGTTTGGTCACTCGTTATGGTCCGCAATCGGCTGTTCCAGCGCAACTGGTCAAACAAACAGTTCTCGAGGCCTCTCTCTCGCCCAAGGAAAGAGTTTTTTCTTTCGCTTGAAATTCGCCGATGGCTTCGTGTTGAAATTCGCCGTCGCTTCGAGCCGTACACTTTCAAAAAGGACACGCTCGCTGAAATTTCCCGCGGAAGCGAGAGAATCGACGAAGAAAAGCGGGGCTTTCGGGAAGACTTTCAGCCTCTCTGGCGAGTCAACTTACTTTGTTTGTTGCTCTCCTACGTTCCACGCGGCGATCCCCGTCCTGGGTACATGTACGCGGCGCCCAGAAGCCCTCCAGATGCGCGACGACGACAATTCTCACTGCACAGAACCGAAGAAGAGAACGAGCGGCCGCGGACCCGTGTGGGAAGGAACCTTCCCGGAAACACGAAACCGACTCCAACCGTCGCCGAGATCCACCGCCGGATCGAGCGCACAAGTTTCGAAGCGAGCGAGGAACGACACACAAGAATCGACAACTGAGGTCGAAGAGGTATCGATATACCGTATCGAGCCCGATCCACGCGAAAAACGTGTCCGGTAAGAGAGACGAACGTGAAAGAAAAGGGGGAGGGGAAAAAATATAAAGGAGAAAGAAGAAAATGATAAAGGAGAGAGAGAGAGAGAGACGAACAAAGAGGACTTGGATTCAGGGTCACGGAGCTGTTTCCCTCCGGCCCACCGGTTCGAAACTGAGGTGCCCGGTTCTCTCTCTCTCCAGGTGAACGGCGAGTTACCTGGAGTAAGAGGCTTCTCTCCTCGGCAAGACACACGCCGATAGGTCGAGCCGAGGCGAGCCAGTGTGTGAAAGAGAGAGGAGAGGAGAGATGAAACGAGGCCGACGCGAGCGTCAGCGCGAGCTGGCAAGGCGGAGAGACGAGAAACTCGGCTCGGCTCGTGACTTCAACCGGAGACGGCCGAACTCCGCTCACCAGCTCCTTGTTTGTTTATCCGCCGATGCAATTGCGCACGGCGATAAATGCGTCGTCTCGATCGCGTTTCGATCGCGCAATCCACGATCGATCTGATCGATCGGCTCTCCTCCGATCGATCCGTCTGCAAGAAAACTCGCAGACCACGTCGGCGCGTCTGCGTGAGAAGCTGCGGGGCACTGCGTGTGCCAAATTTCCCTCCGCGGCGTTTGTCTCGTGGAAGAGAATCGATTATTAAAGTTCGAAGGTAGGACACCGAGGTTTGGGAAACTTCCATCTGCGAGGTTTCTTCGGAAGAGAGTTGAAACTGTCGTTTGAAGGACCGTGCGTCCTTGGAATCAGGGCCAAAGATTCGAGGAATTTTCCTCTGCGACGAAATTGCAATTGTCACTTGGAGGATCGTGTGTTTGAATTTGGAACGCGAAATTGAAGAGTCAAAGTTTGGGAAATTTTCCTTAATTCTGTTATATTATATCATTATTATATTATATTATATTATATTATATTATATCATATTATATTATATTATATCATATTATATTATATTATATCATATTATATTATATTATATCATATTATATTATATCATATATTATATTATATTATATTATAATTATAATTATATTATATTATATATTATATTGTAATTATAATTATAGTATATTATATTATATTATAATTATAATTATAATTATATTATATTATATCATATTGTAATTATAATTATATTATATTATATTATATCATATCGTATTATATCATATTATATTATAATTATATTATATTAAGTAGTGGTTATATAATATTATATTATTATTATATTCGATATTAGGGAATGATATGTGAGTGGAGGTTATATGATGCTAAACTAGTGAATGATTATTGTATTTATTTCTAAGAAGACTGGTGGAGAAGGAGCGGAAATTGTAATCCTGAGGAAACAATAAAGACCTATCTATATATCTATCTATCTATCTATCTATCTATCTATCTATCTATCTATCTATCTATCTATCTATATTACATTATATTATAATTATATTATGTTATATTATATTATAATTATAATATGTTATATTATATTATAATTATAATATGTTGTGTTAGATTATAATTATATTATGTTATATTATATTATAATTATATTATGATATAGGAATTTAAAGAATCGAGTGTTTGGGATAGTTAAGAGTGACGAGTGGATAATTGTAAAATTCTTAGACAGAAGACATCAAATGATATTCAATCGAATTACAAACAATTTGATCTTTCACTCATAGATCCAGTCTTCGTAACATTTTTTTTCTTCTCTTTCTTCGAGTTGCTGCAGATTCACTGCAGGAAGCAAAACGAGAGCGTTGCTTCGACCCCATGAAGGGAGATTTGGTTTCTTGCGTTCGAAGACATCGACGCTCGCGCAAGAAAGGTCGTCCAGTGACTTGGATGCGTGGTCGTTGTGGACACATAACCTAACCTTATGAATTCGATTTGCTTTCAATGCTGTTGCGCATCCGCTTCTGTATTTATTTTAACACTTTCCCGGCAACGTGTTTGAAACGACCGTCGCGTTCAAGAAATATTATTTATTAAATTATAAATCATTGCACAATTTTTTTTTTAATTTGACCATTGAAAATTTTTTTTAATATACAATTTAATTTTTTAAATTGTAATATAATTTTGTAATTTTATAATTTTTTAAATTGTAATATAATTTCATAATTTTATAATTTCTTGAATTGTAATATAATTTCATAATTTTTTAAATTGTAATGTAATTTTTTAATTTTTTAAATTGTAATACAATTTTTTCATTTTCGAAATTGTAATGTAATTTTATAATTTTACAATTTTTTAAATTGTGATAACTTTCAAAATTTTATAATTTTTTTAAATTGTGATAACTTTCAATCTTCAACATTTGTAGTTTGACATACAAATTCAAAGATACGTACTTAAATATTCTAAATAAATCTCTCGTTACCTGATGCTTCAATTTAGAACTTTGACGACTCGTGTCAAAAATAAACGGCTGATCGTTCGATCGTGGTGGAAGAAAAATCACGGACAAAAGAAATCGTTCCCGATTTCGCGATTTCAGTGGAATCGTGCGATCGCCGTTTGCACGTAGCCACGAACGACTTCATAAATAGCCGAGGAGGTGAGCAGCCCGTGCGCGCGACTTTAACCCGGCCGATTAATTTCTGGCCTAACAGGATACCTAGCCAGCCGTTTGAAATACTGGAGATCGTCAGATATACGCCAGGGCTAATTGCATAACGGGCAGCCGATTTTTTAGTTTACAGGCCGATGAACGACGTGCAGGACACACATGTACGTAGGTTCCTCCGCAGCAGATCGTCAAAACGTTTCGTGACCTTTGACACGAGGAAACAAGGGAACAGAAATGTTTTTGAAAATTCTCGCGTTTTTTCAATTGAACGGGATTAAGTGCTCGTTCTCACGGTGAATACTAAAGAATAAATGAACATTGTGAAACGAGACACTGACAAGGCAAGTGTCAACCAATTTTGATGAAATTCGAGTTGGATGTAGTTCAAAATACTTTGACACGTGTTTCTTCTTTGCCAGTAATGCGCACCATTATTTGTTTAAATAATATAAAAAAAGCGTATTTTTTGTAATTATTTTATAAAATATTGTTTTAAAAATATTAAATAATAATTAAAATGTGAAAATATTAAAATATTAAAATATTAAAATACTTGACACGTGTTTCTTCTTTACCAGTAATGTGCCATTATTTGTTTAAATAATATAAAAAAAGCGTATTTTTATGATTATTTTATAAAATATTATTGTTGTTATTTTAAAATTATTTTAAAAATATTAAATAATAATTAAAATATGAAAATATTAAAATATTGAAATATTGAAATATTAAAATATTAAAAATATTGAAAATATTAAAATATTAGAATATTAAAAATATTGAAATATTAAAATATTATATTATTATTTTATAAAAGAAAATATCTAGAATGTCAATCTTGGAAATTTTCGAACATATCGTATTCCAAAAAGTATCGTTTACTACTTCGTTTACTATTTCGTAAATTTTCCAAAATTATGAAAATTCTCAAATGACTTCGCGTGGTACAAAGTTTGATTTTTTGGCCCGCAATTATCGAATCGAGCAACGATCCATTTTTCCACGCGAAAGAAAGAGACTGTTACGTTGCGTGTTCGGTGGAAAGCGATCGGCACGCGATCGTTATCAAGTTTTAATTGACTCGAGCCTCGACTCTCCGAGAAGAATTGTCCGGACACGTTGTCGGACGATTTTGCGACAGAACGCAAGCGAACGCAAAGCGATAGCAGCACTGCGTTACCGTTTTTATCGGGTCTGTTGCACTCCGGAGGCGTTCAACCCGGCAGCTCGTTGCACGCACGCGAATCACCGTGTCCTGCTCGTTTATAAATAAAACGGAATCATCGTTCTTAGCTTGCCTAGCAAGCCAGAAAAAAATCCGACGGGGCAAATTGGCCGGCTGATGTCACGGTTCTTCACTTCTCTCGAGGATTCTCGTTCAAACTTTGGATCATTGTGATAGAAGAAATAAGAAAAAAATAAGAGATGAAGAAAAATCGTGTGTACTTTGATATTTCGTCAACTGCACAGGGTGGAAAGAGAAGTGTTTTTCGTGGCTATCATCGATGAATTCTACAAATCCTCAATTTGATGGAAATATATGTGAAGGACCTGCTTCAAAAATTCACTTTGACTTTGAATTTCAAGATCAGAAATATTTCTTTCCTTGCATTATATTATACTTATTACGGAGGTAAAAGTTTTCCAAGGAACCATATTGAAAAATGGCAAAAACGATTATTAATCATTTGACTACGGACGCGTCCTAACAGCGACTTTATGCTTCTGGACATATGAACGTCTATTTTATCTAACAAATATCTTTCTTCTTGCATTATATTATACTCATTACGGAGGTAAAAGTTTTCCAAGGAACCATATTGAAAAATGGCAAAAACGATTATTAATCATTTGACTACGAATGCGTACTAACAGCGACTTTATGCTTCTGGACGCGTGGACGTCTATTTTATCTAAAAAATATTTTTTTTTCTTGCATTATATTATACTCATTCCGAAGGTAATATTTTTCCAAGGAATCATAGGTCACAGCTTAATAGTTCTGTCGAAAAATGGCGAAAAAGATTATTAATCATTCGACTATGGACGCGTGCTAACAGCGACTTTATGCTTCTGGACATGTGGACGTCTATTTTATCTAAAAAATATCTTTCTTCTTATATTATACTCATTACGGAGGTAAAAGTTTTCCAAGGAACCATATTGAAAAATGGCAAAAAAAATTAATCATTTCACTGCAGACGCGTGCTAACAGCGACTTTATGCTTCTGGACGCGTGGATGTCTATTTTATGTAACTTTCGCATTAGGTTCCACTAACATTTAATTTATCATAGTCGTAGCATCAGCGTGAGTCTAAATAATCAAATAATAAAACTAACTGTTAACATTATTCGAAATATAAACGTTACATCCACGTCCAGAATCATAAAGTCGCTGTTAGAACGCAATGTTAAATAATTAACTAACTTTCTCGCCATTTCTCAAGACAACTATTAGGTTCCTCGAAAAGATTTTACTTTCGTGATGAGTAGAATGACACAGTGCAAAAAAAAATTCAACCTTGAGATTCAAGGTCAATTTTGAGACAATTTTCCTCACATGTATTTCCATCAAATTAAATTAATCTGTACATCAGTAACCTTCGA